AAAAAAAAAATAAAAGAGGATATTGCACAAGCAAAAACAAATTGGTACTATGACGATCAGAAAATTTTTTTTTGTCTGATAACAATCATTCATATTTGGAACAAAGGAAAATCTATGCTAAAATTTTGCCAGTATTCTAAAAAATCAAGATATATGACAAAAGTGAAAGAAACACGAAAAAAAAGGAAAAAAAGAACAGTCAAAAAATTTGAATAACTGTTTTTTTGATGAACCGGAAAAAAAAAGCTGCAAAAGATAAAGGTTTGAATTCGATTCCTATACCATTTCCTTCCGCTCTTTTACAGGACGATCAAAAGGATCCGGCATTTAGAACAAATTTGAGATTTTTGATTAATATCATCAAATCAGCAGATAAAAATGGTGATGACAAAATAAGCTTTGAAGGTTAGACAATTTTAAAGCTTAAAAGAACATACAACTGTTAACCGCTTTGGTTTAATAGCTAAGAAAAAAAAGGAAAAAAACAAATTACTTTTAGAACTTTTATGTGATTTTAAAATCAACTTTATCTTCTTTACCTATTTCAACTTCATCTTTTCCAAATGTCATCTACCCATAGACTTTAATCGTACATCATTTATACAGTGTTCTTTTTTCAGAATTCAAGGAATACATAACCAAAGTAACCAGTGATTCTGCGGGTGGAAAATAGCAAGATTTATTGCAACCCATTAATTTGTTATTTGCCTACCTTTTTTTTTTCTTTTTTTTGTCCTCAGCAATCATTGTATAATTACTTTACGTCACACTCATAATCTCTCAACTACAACTAATTTTTTTTGTTTTTTTTCTATTTTTACTTTTTTTTTTCATAATTTTTAAAAAGTTACAAAGTTCAATCATTCTTTTTCTTCATTTAAAAACAACTAAAAAAATAACTAAATTTTCTACACTAAAAATGTATGACCAACGGTTAAAAGTATATGTGGCCCGTTAAAACGCCCACATCTAGTAACTATTGGTTATACAAAAGCGTAAAAATGAAAGAAAAAAATTTGAATCCTAATTGAACATTAAATTTGTGTAAAAATATTCAATAAATACCTAATAATATTTAAAACACAGAGCAAATAACAGTGCTTAAACAGCCATCGTTGTTCCTATTTTTGCAACTAACAAGAAAACCAATTATGAAAACTGCATTAATATCCAGGAGGAGTTCTTGGAACTGGACAGTGATCACAAGACCCTTTGCTACCTTTAAGACCTGGTGGTCCTTGTGGTCCTTGTAAACCTGGTTTACCATAGGTACCTGAAACAGTAAAAAGTCATCTGTAACAATCCCGTAAAAAAGATCTTTTGCTTTAAAAATTATTTAAAATTATAATGTCGGGTGTATCTTTTTAAGGATAAAGAAGCACAAAAATTCTACAGATACAACAGAATATGTGTAAATTCAAAAAGCTGGTGACAAAAATCTGTTTGAACAACTGTTAAATAACAAAAGTTGTAAACGACTGCTCAAGAGATTGAAAAATATTGCCAAAATAAACTTAAACATCTTTAAAGTTTAAACGCTTCAAAAATCTCAGCCAAACAACAGCTCTAATAAACTGTGTAAAACTGTGTATTTAAGCTCCGGCCGCGAAAAACTGCAAAAAAGTAATATAACAGCAATAACAAACCTGGATTTCCTTTTTCTCCTGGTAAACCGGGAATACCTGCTTCACCTGGGCTGCCTTTCTCACCAGGTTCTCCTGGCTCTCCTGGTGGTCCTTGCTCACCTTGTCTACCTGGTGGACCTGGAGGAGCCACACCAGCTATATGTTTGCCAGGTTCTCCCTTTTCACCAATGCGACCTGAAATTGAAATGATTTTTTCCGCTGAAAGTCTAAACAAAAGGAGTAAACTCGAAGAATTGTCAAAATACAAAACAATTTTAGATATTATAAAAAAAGAAGAGTCAGCAAAATAAGCATCTACTAACCCGGTACTCCAGGTAGTCCAGGTCGTCCCTGAATACCTGGCGTTCCTGCTTCGCCAGGTTTACCAGGACTTCCCGGCTCTCCAATCTCGCCATTGTATCCTTTAGGACCCTTCTCGCCAGGAGCACCAGGTGGTCCAGGTGGCCCAGGTGGGCATTTACGGTTGCATGACGTAAATGTAAAATCAGATACAGCATCTGAATATAAATGTACGATTACACAAAAAATTTTCGAGTATTTTCTCTTTAACAGGGTTGAAAAATAATCGTGAACCTTTGCCGGGGGCACCATCTGAACCAGGCTTCCCATCAGTACCATCTTTTCCATCTGCACCTGGTAATCCTGGAGGTCCTGCAGGCCCATATTCACAGCTACATTCTTAAATATACAACAGATAAAAGAACTGTTCATACCTCTTTGTTTCTTTTTCAAACTGCCAAAAAAAAAAAAAAACCAGAAAAATATTTTCGTCAAGTGGTTTGCAAGCGACAGTTTCTTCAATGTTAGAACAAAGAAGAGATGAAAGCCGAATAACTTGGTGCAAGGTACATTTATAGTTTAAATTATACTTTTAAAATGTGCAGAGGCAATTCCTGACGAAGAAAAAGTTTCATGAGCATTTTTTCGATCGCTCGCAGTTGTAAATCCTGTTTCACCGCTACCTGATCCTACTTTCCTTAAAAAATCCTACAGTTTTTTACAATGACCGAGACTGCTATGTCCAAGAAGAATGTGTGAATTTTACTGGTATTTAACTGTAGAGAAAACGATGAAATCAGAAATTTGTTCAAATTCTTTTTATACTCGATATTTGATGCAATGTAATGTCCAAAAAGCCATCTGCCTTTGTTGCTAGCTCGGACACTTCGCGCAGTACGTCTGGCTCTTTCGTTGTGTCCGTACGAAATTTGTGCAGCAACTACTTCTGACCACAAATCTCGACTTCTGCTCTGTAATACACTAATTGATAAAATGCACCTGTTGTAGACAGAAGAAGTAGAAATTAAGAATGTTGTTCAATATTCCTTGTAGATAATTTACCTTACAAAAATCCATATCACTGTTGAGAATACTCTGAACCCGCTGAATATGTTGATACGTGACCGGAGCGAGCACAATACAACAAAGTACCGTCATTGTGCTGACCGCCACCGCGATGAAGGCTGTACGACGAATTCGTCGAGCTTCTGTTTCATAAGATTCAACTTCGGGTACTATGTTCCCAACCGTTTTTTCTGCCTCCTTCTTCGACAGGAACATCATCCTGCACCTGAAACAGATGAACACTTTCAACAGCGGAGAAACAAGGAACACAAAATTGCTCAAAAAATTCTTAAAAAATATTAAATAATTTTCAAATTAACAAATTGCAATCGAACGACAATGAAGTCAGCTACGTTTATCATACGACTAAAACCCGTTGGTCCTACTAGCGATTAAAAAAGTGAATACAAAAATTTAGAAGCGCAAAAAAAGGTGTTATCCATTGAATATGGTTTACCAACTTCAATTAAAATGTTACTTTATAACAGTTTTCTAGAAAACGCTCAATTTTTGTTTTTATTTGCACCAAAAACTTTCTTTGAATAGGTAAATATTAGAAATCATTTTTTTTTATAACTGATACAAATTTTTAAATTGCTCAAAAGACTTTTAATAAGGAAGAAAAAGTCTTTAAAAAACAGATTGCGCATTAGTCTTACAACAGATGTTTAGCCAAAGAGTATGAATATGCTAGTAATATGACTTCAGCCAGTCTAATGCTTCTGAAAAACGGAGATTCCTACGGTGACTTTTAAATATTGTTCCGTTTTCAGTTCCAAAGTGAAAGATAATCTGGCGAAAGAAATTTCATTAAAAACGTCGACACTTCATCGCTTGAACGAATTTTTTTTTTTTGACACCTCCAATGCGTCGATCTAATGGTTTATATATGAGCGCATCTTTGGATTATGTGAAAAACTTCTCGTTCCTTATACAGCCTCCGAACCTTATCTGACCAAAAATCTGACTGAAACAAAAACAATTAAACTAACGTTATATTTTTCACGGAACTAGTGAGTCCAGTTCTCTTGGAAGGTGAATATAACGTTTGCAAATTTGCATAGACCAAAAGCCACATCAAAAAACAAATTTCCAATTTTCTCTTCTCCCCATCCTCCTACCATGACTTAAAAGCATCGGATGTAAAAGGAAAAAAAACTGGATCCGTTCAAATTATTAATAATCAAAAAAAAAGTCTTTTTTCCTTTTATTTTTATTTTGCAGTCATCTTTTCTTAAAGCCTGCTTATACTCCATACAAAATTTTTTTCCAGAACATTGAATAAATTTAAAATGCGACATATCATAGTCGTCTAAAACTTCCAGCTATAAACCAACTTTATCACATAATACTTCAACACTACTACCTGGACAACTAATGGCGTCTAAATAATGTTCAGTTTTCAGTCACATAACTTCTTCACTAAAACTGGCAAAAAATTGACTTCTTATTGCTATTAAATTGCCTTAACAGCAAACTTGTAATTTCTTCCTTGGTACACTGTGATTAGATGATATCCTAACAAGAATTAATTTTATATTATACTGTAAACAGATCTATGGACAATCGATCGAAGCCGCCATACTCAAATTGAATGAAATATCCATCTTTTCAGAAACCGGCTGACTCCTGGATTTAAGTGATACAAAAGAGTCTTTCAATTTGTGGAAAAGTAGACGACTAAGTCAGAACTGAAGAATTTTGCTTGCTTGAACACACTGTAGGAAATGTGTTACCACATCCGATTACCACTGTGCATCATACGCTCTAGCTCAATCTCCCAATCTTTTATTTATGCAACAAACAACTACTATAGAACAAAGAACCAAGAAAGGTGCACTACACTACGAGATTATAAAAGAAATACATAGAATCAGTAAGCAAAAAATATGCACCTTAACCTCATTAATACAAAATTACTATAATTATATTAACAGGGTTGTGTATACCATTTTCTTTTTCGATCCATTAATGGCGATCTGGCACATGCAGTCAATAAACTGCTTTAAAAAATCAAAAAAACAAAGAAACAACTACCGAAGTCAACGGTGCGAAATTAATGCTCTTAGACCTAAATACAGATAATAAGCACACTGCACTGACTTCTCTTTTAGTGCCTATATTTACGAAACTGGCAACTGTTGGAAAACCAGTCCTACCATCAATAATTTAAAGCTGAAAGAAGCTTGACCTGAGAAAAGGAAAGACCAATCTAACGGCTACAAGAACAAAAGAATACTAAACAGTGATTACAACTTACTGTACAGCAAGTCAGTTTTTGACAGATATAAGCCAACAAAGCTACTAAAACAATACTGAATATGCAAAAAAAACGAACTTAGAACTAATTCAATGAAAGGAACACGAAGAAGGCACAATAGTATGTCCTGGTCAAAGTCTCTTTGTTTCCGGACCTTCTTTAGACTATAACTTATCTGTCACAAGAAATCAACAAAAGATGAAAATACAATTGAAAAAACATAAAAATAAAGATAAAGCAGTAACAAAAATCTGTCTTACAATTATGAATAGAAAGTGAGAACTGAAGTTTGATTTCCACGAATCATTAAAGTCGGTGGCATATCTTTCGTCATAATTTCCAACCAACTCATATACAGACTACTGCTAACATCAACGTGAGGTACCGGCAAAGTGCTAAAAATGTAAATATTTGATCAAATACAGAAAACTGATCCTGTACAAAAACTTAATTCAATCTTTTAAATTTTAGATATTACGTCTTCAAAAACCTTAAAACTTTTGTCCCCAAATTACAAAAGTAAGAATAAATAAATGGAAGAAAAAAAATCTGGTCTAACTTACATTACAATAAGGTCGGCATCATATGAATGCTTCAGAAGAAGTTCTCTAGTTCGGAGTTGTCTGTAAATTCGACCAATTTGGCTGACAATATCACTATCAGTTATTAAACCCTCCTCTTGGTTTGTGTCACTTGCACGCATTTTCTCAATAACTTCCTGATAAACTGCGATGCTGAAAAAACTAATAATCAAGCTTCACACTAGTAAACTTTCAAAGAATAAGATATTACGTTCTTAAAAGTGGCCGACGAGTAATGTCTGCGACTACTTGAAGGTCATTGAACTGTATGCGAAATTTGGTAAGTAGTGCTGCCATATTTTGTTCCTCTGTTTGAAGAGCATGAGATCTGGCTAATGTGAAAACTCGGAGCTGAGCACCCTAAAAAAGAAGATTTAACAAATATACAGACTACTGCTAACATCAACGTGAGGTACCGGCAAAGTACTAAAATGTAAATATTTGATGAATTGCCAGATATACTTTCTCCACTGATTTGAGTTTATTCATACCTCTAAATACGACTTAGGGAGGCGCAAAAGATGTGGGATAAGCAGTGTAAGACCTCCATCGTCATAGAGCCACCAAACGTCAATTCGAGCATTTTTTTTCCTGATGTTGAACTTATTCATACATGCGACCAACGTCTTCTGATTACTTGACACTGTCATAAAACTGCAAATAAAATCCAGATAGTCGAATATGTGTGAAATTGGAACAGTCATAAGATTAAGATACCAAAAAGTAACTAGCGAAAGGAATAGGCGAAAACAAAAAAAGCAAACAAACAAATGAAAGAGAGCTATACGCTAAACAACTAACTTTATGTCCTGCTTTTTTGACGCTCTCTTACTGCTGCCTCCCTCTTTATTACGATTATCATTGAAAACAATACTGTCAGCAAAAAAATGTGAAGTTTGCTGACCACGAGGAAGAGACTTATCAAGTTTCTTCGACAAGTCGGCTAGAAATTTGGAGATAAAAATATAAATTAAATAAAAACGCCTGATTATTAAAATGATTTCCATAAAAATTTTCTTGGAAAAAGCAGAATTTAAATGACGTTCTCCAGCTATCTGCAGAACTATCACTTAGAATGCCTGTCATCACATAGAAAACTTAAGCTTTAGATGAAGCCCGTGACTGAAAGGATACTACGGCTAAAAATAAATTTTAACTGCGCCACTATCCTCTCAAAGTTTATATGATAAGACAAACAGCTACAGGAAATCTTCATGCAGTTACAGAACTAGCTTACTTTCAATGACGTTGCTATTTTGCTGAGCGTTATCTTCAGGAACCCTTATTTCATTAGAGGATGTGTCCACTGCAGATTCGCTAAATGACATTTTTTCAACTAAGGTCTCACTGATCGTCACAAAACTGTCATTGTTTATGCTGTAACAAGTAGGTAAATGCAGTATGAGCACACTAAACATCTACTAACATCATAGAAACCCTAAATAAAAGAACATTTTACCAAACTTTGAAAGCTCTAAAGATGGTAATTTAAAGAAGGAAATATTTAAAAAACTCATGTGACGTATACAAATTGAAACAAAATCACTGGAAGAAACAATGCACAGATGCAATTAGTCCTCCAATGCTTATCGTGTACTAATAGATTAAATAATATTTTATAACTTTATTACAAAAACAAATTACTCACTTTTTTCCATGTTTGAATGCTGTCAAATCGTTAACATTGAGCTCTAATAATCTCTCGCTAAAGTCAAAACCTTCATTTCCATTCCGCAATATACCAACTCCAAAATTGTTTTCAAATGCGTCTCTAGAAGACGTACATGTTGTTAATGGTTTCTGCATGTGGAGCATTCATAAAACCTCAAAGTAGCACTTATAACCACTAGTTTATCGGGAATTTAGGAGAAGTCAAAAATATTTCCGAATACGCCGAAGAATTAAGAATTACTTGATGACACCAACATAATCGTTAACTTCTTGAATCTTCTCGCTACCATACAAGTTCCAGTCATTTTTAAAGCCAATCAACAATATATTCGGTTTAAGTTTCCCAAGACCTGACAACTGAAGCAAATGTTGCGCCCCAGAACGAATATTTTGATTGGCAAATGGCATGTAAAAAGCTTTCTTCTTGTTTGCTTTCAGCCAAGCAGTAATTTGCACATCGAGTCGCTTTACAACTCTGAAGAGCTGCTCGTTCGGTGGGTACTAAAAACAGTCTTAACCAGGGGTTTCTAGTGGTGGGTAAACCGTAACAATCGAAAAATTCAGAAACTGAGACAGTCGTTCTTTCAACAGTAGTTTTAAATATGTGCTGAGAGCTAAGCATAAACTTACCAAGACTACATGGGCTGCAATAAGCAAACTGTCGCCTTTAGTGATTGATGAACCGAAATCGAGAAGGGAAGAGCGAGCTGCCGGATTTCCACTCATTAACAAAACTTGAGGGCGGTAATTCTTTACATGCTCTTCTGTATCTGACAACTTAAGCATGCTCGCCAAAGCAAAACGATAACTGTTAGCCTGTGTCGAAGAGCCCCAATTGGCGTCTAAAATACGAAGACTTGTATTATGCCAAAAGAAGTAGAAACTGAATCGCGACGTATTGTCCAAAATCCTAACCTACACGACGTCTGGATAAGTACGTAAAGATGACAAAAAAGAACACAAAGATGAGTAGAGCCATCATCCACGAGATGACAAACATGACAAAAATGCAGATGCCGGCACCGAAGAGAGATAACCACATGTTGTAGAAACGAAATGATGGACGAAAACCTTAAATATCTATCAGATTACACATCGCAAACGTCCAAAAAAGCTGTTGGTACCAGTCGTTTTTAGTGAGATTGTATAGTACTGTTCTCCGAATATTATAAATCAGTAATCTGCGAAATATTGTTTTTAAAGCGAGAAAACCGAAAAGTTAAAAGACGCAAGATCTAGCCTGGTGTTTTAGCAAACGAAGCATCAAAACAAGCAAAATTAACTGACGCATACACAGCCAAGAATAAGTTGGAAACTAAGCCATCGATAACATTAAGGTCACCTATAAATGGTTTTGTAGAATCTTTAAAAAAAGGAACTTATTTTTTCTCACAATGGGTGGAGAAAATGCAAAAAACGTAGAACAACACCAAGCATTTTACCAATGAGAACAATTCCCATAGTAAAGATCGAAAAGAATATGTATGCACGTTGAGGTATATTAAGATCGTATTCTTGCGAAAAATATTTGACAAATGGAAATAACTGATCTTTACAAATTGCCTGAAATAAAGGATTTTTCGCAGCAAAAATACGTGAAAGAAAAGTAAGCGATTTAAGCGCTGGTAAATACCTGGAAGATTTGTGGTCCGTTGTCCAAATTAGTCATTGTCGAACTTAATGACATAGCAAATATCCCAGCATATATAACTGGTGCCCAAAGTGCTTCAAGTTTAGCTACCTATAGTAACACTGAGTTGAGTATTAGTATTAAAAACGTATTTTTTAAAGCCACTTCAACTTCAGAAATCCAAACTGGATTGCGAGTGATTTACACTGAAAAATCACCTGAAAGTAATTCATCAGACCATATTTACAAGATCCATCTAGCTTGCAGTTGTAAGTTGCCCATTGACCAGTAATATTGCTTAAATATGGTTCCGATAAGCCAGAAACGTCACGCAGCATAGTGGCTCCCGAAATGAATACAGCTATCATATTGAAGAGCGAACAAACTCCAATGGCTGAGAACATACCCAGTGGGACGTCACGTGAAGGATTCTTAAAATTCAATGACTTTTAATTGAAAACTCTTTCCATCTTTAGCGAAACAAAGAAATAACAATTAATAACAGTTACGCGAAGTTTATCCATTGCCATAGAGCCAGCCATTAGACCTGTCATTCCAGGAAATATGACGGCGAAAACAGATATGAAGTTTTCATTACGCCATGCTGGCAAAAGGTTTTCCATTATTGTTGCTACTGCAAAAAAATGACATTGCCAACACTGCTGAAGGTAAGTTGGTATATTTTATCCTTACTAAATATCACCTTAACAAAACTGTGAATCGCAACCATCCACCAAGTTTTTAATAAGTAATTCAAATTTTTTAAAGAAGCTCAAAAAAGTAGCATACTGACAGTTGTATCCAGTCATTCCTTTCAAACGTTGTTCCTCATTGGGTGGAATTACTGAACCCACACACCAATCGAAAAAGGATACAAAGTACAAGGAAAACATAAATAACGTGAAGCTCTGTTCGATGTCTGGACCAGCGAATGTTATCAACATTAAGAGCAAACATACCACTAAAGAACTGTGATTTATTATTCTGCTTATTCCTGCGCAAAAAAGCACTTCGAAACTAAAATACTGAAATAAAATAACTTAAAGAAAACAGAAAACAGGTGAGTCTTTTATACGACAACATAGGCTACCGTGACTGACTGGCTTTTCACAACAGGTTCCTCAGGAACGTCTTAAAAATGATGTTTTTCTAGACAAAAAATTATTAAAAAATATTTGACTTGCCAATTCCAAACAGACGAATGTCGTTTATTACACTTCCGGTCACAACTCCGTAATTGTTGTCCAGGAGGAGGTCCGATATCGTTTCTGCCACTGACACAATATATAAAGATGCCATCATAGCGTTTGCTATGGAAAACATCATACCAATAGAGCCTCCAAATTCAGGCCCCAAGCTCCTGAAATAAAGCCATCTTTATGATGCCAAAGCTGGCAACAACCAGTTCCACTGTGCCACCCTTGGAATATCCCTGGCAAACTAAATGGTTAGTTATAACGTTATTTCTGAGAAGTATTACAGGTGTAAAATATTTACAGCTTAGAATTGTTCATCAGGTTGCAGAACAAATAATACATCAAGTAGCTGGTAATAAGATTACAGACCAACTTCATGAGAAAGCAAAATGCTCGGTAAAAGTGAAAAGACACTTCTGCTTGCCATCTCATTTATTAATTGTTCGCACAATATCAAATTCAAATTAGTATCCTTAGGAACTTTAGAACCTGAGTGTCTGCTCTGCCACTAATAAGCTTGATGACCACTAAGCTTCCAGTTATTTTAAAACAGTTGAAAGCTAACCTCGAGACAAGATAATACAGACCACCTTTTTTAACTTCTCCATTTGAGCAGATACCACACAATGATACAGCGGTAATCAGGATGACTATTGTGGACAGCACTATCGTACCCATACCAGCAACTGAAAAAGCGTCACACGATACTGTACGGATTAAGACTTCAGACAACTGCAGCAACTACAGTGAATTGTTGCTTCTATTATAGCCCAAGTTGGAGGCTAACAGAACAACTAACTTATTCCGGCTTGTCCGGCAACCCAACCGTTACGCAAGTACAGCAATGACCCAACAATATTGGTAAAAACTGGTATAAAGACACCCTAAAACCAAGAATAGCTTGTTTTGTAAACTAATTAACTGGACGTAGCATAATTTTTTCACGCTAATACAAACAAACCTGGAAGAAATCAACTTTTTCAGCCATATCCTTCGCTCGAATTCTCGCATATGCATTATCAACAACAATCTTCAGCTGGTCCCGAGTTTCGTCAACTTCCTATAAAAATATATGTTTAAGAATCTAATATAAATTTTGCCAATAAAGCAAAAAAATTTTTAGTTGTCCATAACTGTTTAGGACAATAAATAAACTCTACCAACAGCTCCTAAAGTTTTCGCCATCAGACACTTTATACAGATGTGTATTGCGTTACTAAAAGATCAAACCAATCAGACAGACTGTTACTATATGAGAAACAAATTTTACAGTCTTTTCTTCCAAATCAAAAAAACTTTGACAGATTTAGTCATACTTTTATTTTTGCTGCACGCTGCATTATTTGCGTACAGATATATCTAAGCAAAAAGATTACAGAATTTCCAGTACCTACAACAACTGCCTGTTACAAAATAACCGTTTGATCCAGTGCGCCTCTGAAACTTACAAAACTTTTGACTACAAGGTACAACTGCGCATCGGTTTGAGCCTTCCTCCAAACCAATATTGAAGGTTTAGAAAGCATAAAGACTGCTTTTTAGCAAGCTGTTTCTATGAAGTATTAATATACTGTACTTCTTTAAAACTCTGACTAATATTATAAACCTTTTGTTTTCATGTTAAAAACCGTTTTTTACATGAAGAAAACGTTAGTAACCCAACGTTGGACATAAAATTAAAGAACATCAGCAGGTTGATATTTGATTTAAAACCCTTGCTTACGATATTTAATTCTCTAGTAAGCGTAATAGAAAGCATTACAGCGAGTTATTACCTTTTTTTCAACAGCAGCAACTCTTGCTCCATGCATTAATTCTAAAATTGAAGGTCTCCTAAGTTCACCAGGTTTTTGAAGCGCTTGTATGGTCAAGCTATAGTTGTCAATTGCTGGAGGACGGTCGAGGGTAATATCATTTTGCCTGCAGACATCTTCCAGTAACAAATGTCGATTTTACAACGGTTTAATGCTAAAAAACAATAAAAACTGAAAATAAGAAGCAAAAAGCAACTCAAGGTACTACCAACCAGTTAGCATCAGAATGAAGAAGAATTTGACTGTTACTCGCAACACCTAACAACATCT